TCATTGACAGTTGCTGGACTTGTTTCCCAGCTGTTTCTGACAGGTGAGCTAAATCCTAGCAGCCCCCTGTCCCCCCAACACCGGGCGCAGGCGCAGGAACTTGATAAGTTTCTCTGATTTTGACATTTTGCTTTGATTTCTGTTAATTCTATTTTCTTACTTTCCTTAATGATTTTTTTCTAACAAGAGCTGGAAACAGATTCGTTGATTTTAACTCTTTCCTGTGAACCTATTTCAGTATTAAGACTGTGAGTTTCCTCTGGGCCCATCAATTCTGATAGAGTGGTTTGGTTTGATTTTTCTAGACATTTCACAAATCTTTCATCCTGTAGATAAGAAACTTGAGGCATTTTCTCCGGCAGACGCTGCCCCTGGGTTCGTGGCAGCTCTGGCTCTGCCGGACGGTGGGCTGGGCCCGCCCCACAGCCCCGGTCCTCGAATCCCACCCCCGGCAGTGACTGTGGTCCCGGCGGAGCGTGTTGTATGGGTTTATTAATCATTTCTGCCAGACACGGTCCCCAGGGAGCAGCCTCCCCACGCCCGAGGTGCAGGTGTGCAGCAGGAAGGGACCGGAACACGGTGGCCACGCCGTCGTCTTCTGCGCCGTGGACATTCTTTGAAAGGGCAGGGGGAGGTCGTACGATGCTGGAGGTGTGGCTGGGCGGGGGTCTGGTCTTCCTGGAGGCGGAGGTGAGCTGTTGAGTCTCACAGGTCACTTAAGTAGAGGAAGGAGGAGCAGGGTGCTGCGGGGGGTCCTGGAAGGACGTGGGTGGGCTCTAGGACACCCCCTTAAAAATGTGGCCCTGAAATCCCAGCACTTTGGGAGGCTGAGGCAGGTGAATCATGAGGTTAAGAGATCAAGACCATCCTGGCCAACATGGTGAAACCCTGTATCTACTAAAAATACAAAAATTAGACAGTCATGGTGGCAGGTGCCCATAGTCCCAGCTACTTGAGAGGCTAGGGCAGGAGCCTTGAACCCAGGAGGCAGAGGTTGCAGTGAGCCAAGATCACGCCATTCCACTCCAGCCTGGCGACAGAGTGAGACTCCATCTCAAAAAAAAAAAAAAAAAGTGACACTGAGACCTCACGTCCCAGCTTCTCACGCCCTCCCATGGAGCCATCCTCCCTCCTCCTCCTCCAGCCCCACCACTTCCAACCAACACCCCCAACCCCCAGAGAAGCATGAGGTTTGACTGCAGGGCAGGAGCTGGTGACTAATACAGCAACTGCAGGACACAGGCTGGGCGCATGGACGGGGATGTCAGCAGCCTGGCTTTCTGGAATCACAAGGCCAGACCCCAGCTCATTCCTGCAGGCTCAGCCCTGAACTGGACACAGTGGGGTCATTCCCAGGGGCCCAGAGAGGCAGCCCCAGGCTGTGGGCGAGGCGGATACGTTACCCAGCAGGCAGGACCAGGCAGGAGCTCTCCTAGATAGGGCACGGCTCTGTGGGAGGAAAGGGGGCAGTGGGGGTGTCAGGGAGAGAAGAGACAGCTGGGGACACAGCCGCCCCAGGGCCAGAGCGGGGATGGGAGGATGATGGGAGGGGGTGGGACCCCACCCCAGGGTGGCTCTGCACCCCAGGAGGCAGGGGGAGAACTGCGGAGGGGCCAAGGAGTGACCTGAGTCCTCCAGAGCCAGTGGGGGGCTTGGGCTGAGAAAAAGGGAGCTTCTCCTCTCGCTGAGGCTGGGCCTGTCCTGGGCAGAGCTCACCTTCCACCTGGTACCATTCCAGGAGGAACCATAACTGCACGGGCAGGGTCTTGAAAGTGCGGAAGAATTCCTTCAGGACCTCATCATCTGCTTCCGGGGATCTGGCTGTGGGGGAGACTGGCTCAGTCTTGGGCCCCTGGGGCTTGAATGAGAGCTGGGGAGCTCCAGAGGCCGTGCCAGGAGGGAGGCCACGGAAGGAGGCCCCAGTGCTCCCAGGTCAGGCAGAGTTTGGTCTGGAGCAGGCCCCCAGGGTGGTCTCCGGGGCTCTGTCCACCTGGCCTCCAGGTTCCCCGTCCCCAGCTCCCACTCCTCAGCCGGGCCCCCTCTGCTCCACTCTGGGCAGCGCTGGGGTCCACACAGCTCAGGATGGTGTCTACAGGGTCACGGGAGCACAGTGCCCGCCTCCCCAGTGTCCAGCTCTCACCAAGCATGGCTGAGGCTGATCAAGAAGACACCTGTGTGTCCCCAGAGGCAACGCTGCGCTCAGAAACACAGGGAAGGGATGCGCCCATGTGTCTAATTCAGCATTCCCAGCCTTAGTTTGGACAAGAACTTCGTAGGTTAAAGGGTGTTTTGACTGGATGTCCAGTGAGTATTAATCTTTCCACCAAGCCCAGCCCCTTGACTGGCGACCATCCCACTGGCCCCATATCAGCTCCCTGCTGCCCAGTTTCTGATGCAGTGTCAGAGGACTGGATCAATCACTGCAGAAAAACTCAGCCTGGCCAGGTGCCACCGCACTCCAGCCTGGGCGACAGAAAGAGACCCTGTCTCAGAAAAGCAAAACAAATAAGCAAACGAAAAACCAAGACAGAAAAACTCAGCCCCCAGGCACCGAGGTGGACAGGAAGCCAGCTGTCATCTCCCCAGGGTTCCCATGGACGTAGCTGGGACCTCTCACCCACGCTGAGCTCATGCCCTCTGAGACCCACCCAGGTACTGGCACATGGTGCTCTGCTTGGGGGTGACGGTGCTCTTCATGCAGAGAAACAGGAATTTGTCATAGTCAGTCTCCAGCAGTGTAACCTCGTTCACCGCCATATCTGGGAAAGAAGAGAAGAACCAAAAGGAAGATGAAGCCTCCGTCCCAGCAGAGCCTTGTGCAGACGTGAGGACGTCCCACCAAACTAAGTGGCTTCCTCGTCTACCACCACCGTGGGCCATGGGCCCTGCTGTGAACTGTGGCCCCTGCTGTGGGCCGTGGCCAGGGAAGCCAGAGAGAAAAGGAGGCGACGTGGAGGGACATGGAGCCCCGGCTGAAGGGAGAGGCCAGGCGTGCAGTGCGGAGGCAGACGTGGCAGGCAGGGGCATGTGACCTGACAGATTCCAACTGAGAAGTCAAGATGGGTGAGGAAGCTGGGAGACCGCACAGGAACAGGGCAGGGGGGCGGGAAGAGGGGGAAGAAATGGACCTTGGCGAGTGCCTCGATTCTGGGGAGGGCAAACAGGGTCAGAAAGGCCTCAGGCAAGTCCCGAGCATGAGAAGCAAACTGTTTGCTGAAAAACTGTGCGTAAGACATTCCCTCTGTGTCCTTCCTTTAAATCTTTGAGGCCCATTGCCCGGGAGGGGATAAGAGACCCCAGACCGTGACCACCTCTGTCTTTAAAAAATAATAATTAACAAAATAGAACAAAATGTTGCAAATTGTTATGAAGAATTCAGTGGAGCAAGGACATACGGTAGGTCCCTCTCTTTTCCTACAAAGAGGCCTGGGAGCT